GTGTGCAAGCCAATAACACACAGAGTCGAGGTATTTGCAAATTAATTTAATTGATGCACATGAATGGGTGCCTGTCTCAAAACAGCAAGCACATCTTTGTCTCAAAAATTCCCACATTTATGTACTTAAGTTTACATATTACATATGTATTACATTACAATTTACATATTTATCCAGTTTACATATTCATTATTATTTCTCTTAATGATTGGTTCTTTCTTCTTTGCCTCTCATGTAAATTAGTGCACAGACTGTCTTCTTCCTTCATTGTCTTCCTTTCAGTAGGTGGTATCATCTGAGTAGGTGGTCAATGAGTTGGTGGTCACAATCTCCCCCTGTAGGAATTACCTTTTACCTACTTCTTACTCTAAGCAGTTCTTCAAGGTTTATTGGCTGGGCCACAATCCATTACCTTTTCTGACATAATCATAAAGCACCATTGTCTAGTAGTTAGTTCCTAAACCCTAAATCATATCTAGTTATTGTTTCCCTATTTTAAATATTAACTGATGGGGGCTGTACACAGGATTTTAGCAGCTGTCTGGTTACTTCAATCATATTATACATATTAGTTGATAACAATACCACACATGATACAAATGTTAGTTGGGATTACTTAAGGAAAGTAAACTTTGCTGGTTTGACTCATGGTCCCTTGAGAGCTTTACTACTTTTCTACTTTAATGTGAAGATTCCCAGATTTAGGGTAGCACCACCAACCAGCTCCTCAGCCTCCAGTCACACTCAATTTTCTCAGACTTATCTGTCCTCTCTTTTATTCGTGACCTTCTTTTCCAGTTGCTAGTATTTACTATGGGATCCTGGTTTTCACCTCTTCTTTTCTCTCCTATTTTCACCTGAATTGTGAACCTCCTTCCCCATGCTGATTTTGGGGATTGAGCTGTGATAACCTGTGTGAAGGTGCTTTGCTTGCAGCTCTGCTACAGATTGTACCAACTGCAGTGTCTGAACACAGGCTGGATCTTTGCTTTCTTACATATATTGTTAGTGCATAAAGCCAAGATTCGCCAATCCATTACTTCTTTCCTAGGTGTCTGATTTTATGGAAGAAGTTGATAGAGATTAATGTAAAACTTCATTTTTTGATAACTTGATGGGCTATACCAGAGGACAGGGAGGGTTTGAAGGACATAAGAATAAATGCTGTCTTGTAATTAAACTTCAGTAAAAGCTTTCATGGTTCTTTGGTATGAATATCAGGCAGAAATGCATCAACTTAATTTTTTCCTGGGACTTGCTAGAAATTAATTATTTTTAAAAGGGTCTTTTTATTACCTTCATGGACTGTCTTTTCTCAAGTTTTTATCGTAGCTGCCTCTTTGCAGTAAAGTTTATAGTGGTCTATGAAACACTTAATACAGAAAACATACAAAAGAAATGTGTTATTCAAATCCACTGACACAACAAAGTAGTTTTACAGCACAATGGTTACTGCTCTTGGAGCTGTGATGGTGGCTATCACATGTTTAGTCCAGTAATGCTTTTACTGGACCCCACAAATGTTGCATCACTGTTGTCCCAAAAGTTGTTTACCCGGTGCGTGAAAAGCCAATGTACACACAGAGCAGAGGTATTTTATTCCAGTTCATGTTTGCACAAAGGTGGGGCCTGGTGGTAATACACAAAGCTAGCACACCTCATGCCTAAACAGGCAAGCAATTTATACAGTTCAGTTATACATATTTAATTTCCAAAGTTCTTCCCCAAAACTGTTATTGGTAGTTGCTTATCTACCACAGCTTCTGTTGGGCTGAAGTTTTCCCTGCTTCGAATTAAAGGTAGTGTTCTTTTATTCTACAGCGCATGGTCAAGGAGAGTCGGAGGTGGGGTAAATCTTTTTCGTCTTGGATTGAGTCGGTGATCGTGATCTCCCCCTGCCGCCTTTACTTTTCCTCCAGTTATCGAAGATCGTTGCTGACTTCTTGCCTATTAGCAATTACTTAACTTCTGGCACCTCCTGGGGTAGGATGTTCCCTTCTTACCAGCCTTCTAGTTCTTCTTGGGCACAGTCGTTAGCAAGGCATGCCTTGTTTATACAAAGGGTATCTTGTTTCACAAGGCCTTTGTGGCCTTTTTAAGGTGGCTTAAGTACATAATTTCTTAAACACATCATCACTGCTGTTTATGCTTTAGAGTTCTTTAATATGCTTAAGCAACATCGTCCTTATCAGTTCTTATGATTTTATATCTAAATGTACAAAATAATCTTGGTTTGTTAACCTGGAAGTTGGTTTGTGAATCCATGCATCAAGCATGTATCTGTGTTCTGTTTTCTGTTTGTTTGGTTTGGGGCTTTTTCGTTCACATCCCTAGCCTTGAAGTGGCTATAATAATGCAATTTCAGTAGAAGGTGAGAAGAGGTCAGCAGAAAGTTTGTCCTGTTCTCAAAGGTAGGCCTAAATGTAATAAAAATGGTTCAGTGAAATTAATATTTCCGTATTGTTTGTAGGAGGGATCATTGCTCTGCTGGAAAATCTGTGTATCACAAAAAGTAGAAATTTTTGATAGGAATTTGAAGATTGGTGTGAATGGGAAGTCTGAGTGCGGAAGCACCAGAAGGAACAGCGGAAGAGAGAGAAAATGGCCAGTATTGATGGCACCTGATTGCAGATCATCAGGATTACAGCACATCTTTGTGCAGCTTCTTTAGAGGACCAGATAGGGGAAACAAAGGACGGCCTAAAACAAGGGACAGCATGTTCCTGTACTCAGACTAAAGTGAAGAATCAAGCTATTAAGAGATGATGGTGGGAATGTAGAGAAAACAGGGTGGAGCCTTGCTGCACACAGACAAAAGAGACAAAAAGCAGGGAGTCTATGACTCACAGAGGTGGGACAGAATGGGAGACAAAGCATTTCTGAATCACTGTTGGCTCCCCGGGGGTACGTGCATGGCTGCCGATCTAGCTGTCATCCCTTGTACCCAGTCATTCCTGGCTGGAGCACATGGGTACCTCTTCCTGAATGCAGGACGCACTGCTGGCACAAACACCTCTTAGTGCTTGTGTGTATAAGCGATTGAGTGGGATCAGTTTTGTGTTACCCTGAACTCACCTTTTGCTCCCGTGAGCCCCTTTGCTGAGTTTGCTTTGTTGTTGCTGCAGTGTCGCAGTATCTTTTGTTACAGAAAAGTACAGATAAGCACCGTTCATACCAAAGGAAATACAGCGGCGGATGGAAATGCCCGGGGGGTGCCCCCTGCCTTTTTTTTTTTTTTTTCTTTTTTAAGAAAAAACATTTGCAGGTCAGATGCGATTTCTGCAGGTAAGTTTTCTGTGGCCTTGGTTCTTGTGATTGTATGTGGGATGTGAGGAGTGCTGGTTTTGGCTGCTCACTTAACGAATGCGGGATGCTTTGACAGTGAGCTTGATGATACTTCTTCCATTTTGTGAAAGATGTGCCTGTCCTGATGTAGGTGATTTCCCCAGCACACACTCCTAATGCAGGGACCCTTCACCTGTGCTGTGTTTGTTTCTCATCTAGGAACCAGGAACATCCCTGATGCATTACAGAAAGTTCCTGAGAGCTGATGAGTTTCCGGGTCTGGTGGCTTTTGCTTTTATCTCAGTGATTGAGAGCTTGCCCTGTTATCCCTGGTCCTTGCTTGTGCATCTTTAAAAAAGTTTTGTTTGTTTTCTCAGGTTTATGTTCCTAATTAGTACTTTTGTCTTCAGGTGTTTTGTCGTTAAACGTGCCGCTATGTATTGGTCTCACTTTCCACCCTTTATATTCTACTTTAATATTTTCACAAGAAAAATAAAAGGTGAAGACATAGTCCCTGTGATGTACTTAAGAAATTATGTACTTAAGAAGTGATGTACTTAAGAAGACCACACAGGTCTTCTGAAATAAGATACCCTTGTATACACAAGGCATGCCTTGCTAACGACTGTGCCCCTGAAGAAGAACTAAAAGACTGATAAGAAAGGAACATCCTACCCCAGGAGGCACCGAAAAGTTGAATAATTGCTAATAGGCATGAAGTCAGCAAAAATCTTTGATAACTGGAGGAAAAGTAAAGGTGGCAGGGGGAGATCACGACCACCAAGTCAACACACACACACACACACTCACACGCACTGTAGAATAAAAGAACACTGTGGAAGCGTGAAACTTTAACCCAATAGAAACTGTGAATACAGGGTGCTAGCTTTGTGGATTACCACCTAGCCCCCATCTTTGCGCAAACATGAATTGGAACAAAATACCTCTGCTCTGTGTCTATATTGGCGTTTCCCACACCGGGTAAACGACCCCACCTGTGGGACAACACCTGGACAGTTTTTTGCCATGCCACATGCCTCATTGCAACGCAGTTGAGGCAAAATGCCAAAGCTTGCTACTGCTTCTTTACGTGGCTCTGCAACGCACAGAGATCCCAGCATGCAGAGGCATAGCCACACAAGCTCTGATCCTTTGGTGCGTGCATTGGGAACAGTGAAGATGTCAGAGCACACAACGCGGGTACAGATGTCTTGAGAGCCTGCAGACATCTCACTATCTAAATGTCATAATAGTGTTCCATTGTGGTAGTGGCGAATGTATGGATTGTTTGTTGTGTTAAATGACGGATTGAACGATGAATTTTATATTCATTTTTAATTAGATGTTTTTTCCTCAGTGGCAGAACTCTTAAGAGTTTTAGGGCTGGACTTGTAAAATGTGATTTGAAGAAACTCCTGCTGCGGGGGATAGTCTCTGTCTCCAGACTGCAGTATTTTGTGGTTTCTAGGACTGTGGGGTTTGTATATTTAGCCTAGCATATTGCAGAACATTCCTGTGCAACTGGCTGCATGCTGAATTGGAGCGGTCTTTAAGGATAATCTCAAATCTCAATAGGAGAAAGGTAAATCACACTGGGTGTGCCCCTGTGCCAGGTTTACTGAGGACTTAGACTTGCTCCTGGGAGAGTGGACTGAGGGTGGTACCTGCTCTGTTGACGAAAGCAGATGTCTTTGCCTTTCAGGAGGTGTGTGTGACTGAAGGAATCCAGCCACCGAGCTCGGTGCAAAGGTTATTGACTCGCCTTGTCAGCAGAAGACACAGTTTTCCACCTGCGTGCTCTAAGTATAAACTTCTTTCTTTGCCTTGTTGATGTGCTTGCTTATAGGAAGGAAAAAGGGGCTGTGAAGGTAAAAAAAATGCAAGTCATTTGTTTATTTCCATCTTGTATGGAAAATGCTGGTGACAATGTGCTCCCAGTTCCAAGCCCTGAGCTTGGCAACTGGAGACGTGTTTTCTTTCAACATATGGGGTGTCACAGAAAGAGGTCTTTCTTACCTTTGTATTTCTCACTTGCACTTTGATTCAAGCTTGTAAAAGTTTAGGTTCAGTACTCACCCCATGTAATCGGAGCGAAAGAGTGAGTTTAAGTGTTTTTGGTTCTTTTCCTTCCATGCTTTTTTTTCTCCTTAAACTAGTAGATTTTCCCTCTTCAGTTTCTTTAGAGCGGGAGCCGTACATCTTGCTGGGGCTGACTTCCCACACCAGGACTTGCTACCAGCAGGCAGGCAGGTCTGGCAGGTCACAGGAAGTTCTGGGTTGCTTAGGCAGTGAGAGGGCTCTTCAGATATTTTCCTGATCCAGCGATAATGCCTCAGGATGCAAGCAGAGGCTGTCTTGTGTAATGGCATGTTATGAAAATACTGTTCTGCTTCATGAAGTCTAAACCAGCCCCCATGAGCAGCCCAGCAACATTGGGCGTCTCTGACAGGCACTCTTTGGCCCTGCTGTTTGTTGCACAGGATGGTGACTGCCAAGGTGTGGGTTCTGAAGAAGCATTTTGAGGGATTCCCCAAAACCAGTGACTTCGACCTGAAAAAGATAGAGCTGCCAAACCTAAAGGATGGAGGTGAGTGGAGTACCACCCGTTCTTATTTTTTCCGGAGGTTGTATGATTGCTGATGAATGGCTGTGCATCTGTAGAACTGTTTGTACATTTCTCTGGCTTGGATTTTCAAAAATGGGTTGGCACGGCTTGTGGCAAGCCATGCACCTTAACAGAGAAGGGCAATTGCTCAAGAACATGTATGCTGATGAGTTTGGTGGGTTTTAAGACACGCTGCCTTCTGACAATACCCTTAGAAGCAGTGGCTGAGCTCTTCTAACTCCAGTACGCAGCAGCAGTATGCCTTTCACAGTCTCACGCTGCCTAATCACACACAATACTTGATGGCAAAGGCGTTCGAATGTGTTTGCAAATAAAGCTTACTGGAGAATATTGCTGAAGTGATACACCCTCAAAACCGACAGCCACAAGGAGACAGAATTCGATTAATTTAGAAAGAGAGGAGTGAACCATGACAGAGCAAATGAGGTAACTGTAGTAAAACGCAAGCATGCTTTAGTGGTGAAAGGTTTTCATCTACTTTATTTTGCAAAATCCTTTAGAGAAACCTGGAGAAGATGGTAGGTTCCGGGAGGAGGTTTTCATTGGAGTTTTTCATGCTGATAGAGAAGGTATTGATATGCTGGGGGACAGCAGAGTGACTGGAGTGGGAGGGAGCCTGCAGCTGGGAGGCCTTGGGGCTGGAGTCAGTGTGGGCTGGTCTTTCATTTTAAGAAGCAACAAGGCAAGAATTCTGTCTGCATTCAATATCTATTTTTTTGCCAGTGCTTATCTGTTATATTTGACCTGTTGTGACAGCAAGAGAGAGTGAATAAAAAGAGTAAAAAAGGCACAGGCTTTATTTATTCCCGTGTTTCTCTGTTTTGAAAAGGGTAGGGAATAGGATAACTTAAAATATGCAAGAGCTGTTGATAAAATAATGAACCTTGATTTTTGGCTTCACATGGACATTTGTACCATGCTGTCTTGAGCCTCACACCACCACTTGTCCTTTGCAAAATTTACTCGAGTTTAGAAGGTGTGCCAAAGAAATTGCATTAAAGTACTAGTTATGTTTACAACTTAAAGGTTTGAAAGGTGATTCCTTCTTACATATACTTTCAAGTGTTTTCATAGCATGTGTACTTCTATAGCATTCAGACACACTTAAAAATTTCATGCCTGTGAGTATTTAAGAACATGGAGTAATTTCTTCCTTTCCACTGTAATCTCTACAGCAAGAAGAGGCATAGCTTCGTACTAGAGTAACACTTTTAAAAGAGATGGCCTTTATTGTTACATTACATGGCCTTGATTGTTTTTCCTGCTTGCTCTGAGTAATGGGAAAATATTTATATCTGAATATATTTCTAGCTGGTACTAGCAAGACCACTGCAGCACAGGCAATGAAAAGTGTTATTAGGTGTAGATGAACAGCTAAAACTGCTGTGTGAATGAAAACATAAATTAAAATTTGTTTAACAGTTTATTTCACAAGAACTAGTGGCATTAGAAACAGTAAGATGCATTAGGCTACCTGGAAAGATAGCCTAATGCTTTCTGTTTAAGGCACCAAAGTGTTTGTATTTGACCTGTGCCAAGGTTTCTTACCACCCTCTGCTGGCTGAATGATGGGAAGGCATTTTGTATAGGAGTAGAAAGTAAGTTAGTATTTTGCTTAGGGGGTCTGGCCTCTTGGAGCCTTCTGTAGAGACAGGAGGCAGATAAAAAAAAAAAAAAGGAGTTGATGAGAAGCTAGCCTCCTAAAGATACACTACAGAAGGTGTCTTTTTTAACAGCACAGCGATAATCCAGACAAAGCTAATGAATGTAATAGTTGCTTCTGGTAGTTTTTCCCTAAGGATGATGGGATATGGGGTTTTTGAGCTGTCAGGAATTCATATCACTTGTTGAAAGACTGACTTGTAGAAACTATGCTTTACTGCACTGCTAATGCCCAGGAATTTGCTTTATCTTTTGTTGCAGAGTTGCTGCTTGAATCAGTGTTTCTCAGTGTTGATCCTTACATGAGGTATATCTTTTTCTTCTTTTTAAATTGCTGGCTGAGATATCTCATTTGATCTCCCACTTAAACCTCAAAAACAATGTGCTGGGAGCACTCTTGTTGCCAGAGTCCGAGGTGCCTTTGTCTGCTTTTTATAAAATGTGTGTAAATTACAAGACTCCCAATATAGAGCTGTGCCAGATTTAGCCAGACATTAGGATAATGATGCTGCAGCGCTAGACTTTTCTTGGACTCTGCTGTTTCTTGTCATGTCTCTTCCACTGGAATGCAATGGGCTTAAAGGACACTGCAGTCCTGTTGCAGTAGCTGCTTCATTTATCTTAGCAACCTTGTACTTAAGGATTGCTGTGGTTTAACCCCAGCCAGCAACTAAGCACCACACAGCCACTCACTCACTTCCCCTGCCACCCAGTGGGATGGGGGAGAGAATAGGAAAAAAAAAAAGTAAAACTCATGGGTTGAGATAAGAGCAGTTTAATAGAACAGCAAAGAAGAAACTAAGAATGATAACACTAATAAAATGACAATAGTAATAATAAAAAGATTGGAACATACAAGCGATGCACAATGGAATTGCTCACCACCTGCTGACTGATGCTTAGTTAGTCCGTGAGTGGTGATCCCCCCACCCCCACTCCCCCCAGTTTATATACTAGACATGACGTCACACGGTATGGAATACCCCTTTGGCCACTTTGGGTCAGCTGTCCTGGCTGTGTCCCCTCCCAACTTCCTGTGTCCCTCCAGCCTTCTTGCTGGCTGGGTATGAGGAGCTGAAAAATCCTTGACTTTAGACTAAACATTACTGAGCAACAACTGAAAACATCAGTGTTATCAACATTCTTATACCAAACTGAAAAAGATAGCACTATACCAGCTACTAGGAAGACAATTAACTCTATCTGAGCTGAAACCAGGATAGGATACATATTCTAAGTAGGAAATTGCTGATATGCCCATGTTAATACGTGGTGGTTCAAGCACAGGGAGACTGGGTGATTTGAAGAAGCCTGGTGGACCATAGCATCGTAGTTCTTTGGAGTCTCAGGCTTCTTATAGTGGTGGACCATGCTGGGAAGATTAATGCTATTGTGTCCCCAACACTCTAGCCCAGTATTCATTCAAGATGGGGTGCTCAAGTAGCTGGCTATGGAAAACATCCAGATTTGTCATTACAATGACAAGCTCTTTACGATCTGTTCAACATCACTGCTTATGCTCTCTTTCTGGATCAGACAGTAGCTACCACTTCACAGTGTATCTGGAACATCATTAAAGTTGCTTACAGTAAGCCATCTCTGCCTGTGTTACAGACCTTACAGTCAAAGGGACATGAAGGAAGGAGACATAATGATAGGGACACAGGTTGCCAGGTAAGATCTTCAGTTCTTGTTATCCGTATGCATTGCAGATCTCGAAGGAATGTACTGATATTCAAGACATCTGCAGCCTGTATTACCTATTCTTGACTTCAGTCTACATACTTCTGCAACTGTATTCCTATCTGTAATTGGTTGGAATGTATTTTTTCCTCCAAGAACCTCTTTTGCCTTCTTGGAGACCATTTAGGCCTCTGATACAAGCTATATGTTATTTCTGGCTATAATGTTTTCAGTGGAAATTTCTATAAGCAGAGGTATGAAGGACCAACCATTGCACTTGCCATAAGTGTCAGCTTCACATTTTAAAATCTGATGTGCTAGTTAATTGCATGCCCGAAATCATGCATGTTATCTACTCCAACTGAGAATACCTCAGCATCGCCTAACATACAGCTCTAGCCAAAGGGTTATCTAACCTTAAATCCATCCTTTCCCAAGCTTGTGGTAATTTAGCTACATAGATGTTTTCCTTTGTCAGCTTGTTCATGCTGTGCTGCTTCTTAAGTTGCTGCACAGGAACACCTGTGGCCTTTGACTCTCATGTTTCTCTGCAGGAACACTGAGGGCTGGGATAAATTAACAACCAAGTCTGCTGAACAGAAGGCCAGCTGTTTTCAATATTCCAAGAGCTGCTTACCTACCCCTTCCCAACGTAATTTTCCCATTGGGCTAAGAAAGTTGAATTCATTTGGCGTAGAGACACCACAAGTATGAACTTCTCCCTGTTATTAGATACTGCTTTCTGTCTGGTTTTGTTACCCCAAGAGGTTCCATCCTCAGGATCTTCAACCTTTAAATGAGGTGCAGGTTGTCTGAGAACGGAACTGCTTCTTACAGCCTATCTGTGACTTCTTGCTTTTCCACCCTATAATGCCAGCATCCTCTTTCTGCCTTCTAAGTCAAAGAAGCCTAGTCTGAATTCATACCAGACTGGTGCTAGTCAAAAAAAAGTCGTCACCCATGTGGGAACATTGGATTTGTTGTGGGCAGGGCTGAGTCTAGAATCATCTTGCCCAGTATCCCCCTGGTGAGGAGAGATTGTAGACATTTCAGGAAAGGCATCAGAAGCCTACAGCATCAGCAGGTGTGGGCTAAATGTTCTGACGTGAAATGTTTCCTTTCTCCTGCATCACACAGCAACAGCAATAAAGGAGGGAAGAGCCAGTAATTATTTGTCTCTGACAGGGTATTCTTTTATATTTTTTTAATCTTCTTCTAAACAGGATTGTAGAAAGCAATAATCCTGCTTTCACAGTGGGGGCCTTTGTTGTGGCTAGAAGTGGCTGGAGAACTCATTTCATCTCTGATGGGAAAGACCTACAACTCCTTCCTTCCAGTTGGCCAGAATCACTCCCCAAATCTCTGGCTCTTGGGACGGTTGGCATGCCAGGGTGAGTTTCGAGATGCAAAGGCAACTATGCCCTGGATTTTGCTGTGCAGGATGTTTCTGCCTATCTGTATGACCTTTTTCCCTTGTCTTGTTCTACGAGCATGTTGTCTGCTCACTGTGGTAAAAAACATGTGTGCTTCTGGATGCCCTTACCCTGTAGAGGGCCTGAAGTTTGGCTCGTCCTTTAGATCAGAGGATATTTGCCTTGGAGATTATGGTGCCTCTCCTTGAGGAGCTGTAATAAGGTAGGAAGAGGATCCAGGAGGGGCTGCAAAGAATCAAGTTCAATCTGAACTAACCTCAGTGGAAAGACTCAAAAGTGACTGGCATCTGGACTAGTCTGCTTCTGCTGACTGGGCTCTTCTGCTATCACCGTATTGCCAGAATTGCCCCCAAAATAGCAAAAGGCAGCTGTTGTCATGTGCAGCAAAATAGAGGTCCTTTAAATTGCACTGCAGCAGACAGAGCTGCTGTGCTTCAGAATCCATATTCATTACTGCAGTCTCTCACATTCTCTTTATCTGTAGTTTGTATGGGACACCAAGACTTGGTCAGTTCAGTTGACGCTGAAGGCTTTAAAATGATTGTAACATTGTATGTGATGTAGACCTCCTCAGATTTCATCTTGACATCAGGCAAGATGCATGTTTTTCCAGGCAGCTGCGAGATGGATTCAGTTCATCCTTTCAGTTTGGACCAAGCGGGAAGCTCCAAGCTTGAATTTAGAAGTTAGAAGAAAAGTTTGTTGGGATTCTTGGCCAGTTGATCACATTGCTTCAGGAAGTTTGCAGAGCCTGATGTCATTCAGTATTTGTATGATCAGTAGAACATGCTTAAGCTAAACTTTAGTGGTTCCTACAGATTACTATTCACTCAGCAACCATAGCTGTGCACAGTAGTCCTCAGGAGCAGTGTGCCTGTCAGTTCAGCAAGGTTTTGCCACCATTTTTTCTTTTTCTGCCAGCTTTGATTTGTGATGAGTATCATTTAATCTTTGCCTCAATCTGGTAGATACCAGCTGGCTACTGACCTCTGTCTAGTTTGGATTTACTCTCTCTTCCAGTGTGTAACTGAGTTGTCACCTTACCATTATCTCTGTTTCTCCTTTCAGTTAGTGAGCACAAGGAAAGGTGTTTTCACCTAAGATAGACTTATGCCACAGCATCCTGTTTCCCAGTAGCGTCTTTTTTTTTCTGGGATGGCTGTAAAAAGCCAGATTAAGAAGTTTGGATTAATTTTTGTATTTCATAAGGAATGAGGAAAACTGAACCTTGTTCTGGTTGTGACAATATTTCGGTTCAATGTGGTCAAATCACATCTCTCTATCTGGTGTCTTTTATTCCTGACTGAGCATTCTTTCTTTTTCTTCACAGCCTCACTGCGTATTTTGGTCTGCTGGAGGTCTGCAAGATGAAGCTAGGAGACACAGTGCTGGTTAATGCTGCAGCTGGTGCTGTGGGCTCTGTGGTGGGGCAGCTCGCTAAAATTGGGGTGAGTGACTTGAACTGCTCATACTTGCTTCTCAGGAGACTCACCTGGGAGACAGGGCAACAAGGCCATGAATGATCAGGAGGGCAAGCATCCCTGAAGGCATGCCTACAGTAAGGTCTTAAGATGGGGCAAGCTCCTGAAGATGTAGCAAAGCTGGTTGAATGTTTCCTAGAGCTCAGGAACTCGTATGGTGACAACAGCCTGACTTTAAGGGTGAGCCCTCCACCCAGCACTCTTTTGAGTGTCAGCCTGTGTTGTAAGGGGATGTTTAGACATGTTTTTCTCCTTTCCTTGCAGGGTTGCAAGGTGGTTGGCTGTGCTGGCTCAGATTACAAGGTTGCCTATCTGAAAAAAATAGGCTTTGATGAAGCCTTTAATTACAAGACTGTTGTATCTCTGGATGAAGCACTGCGGAAAGCCTCTCCTGATGGCTATGACTGTTTCTTTGACAACGTGAGTTCAGAGAGAGAGGACCTTGCATTGAGCAGACTGTCATTTTCCTTAAACTCTAGCAGGAACTCAATATTGTATACATCTAATTGAAGACTACACCAGGAACATGATACTGATTTCCCTTGAGAAATGGTGTCTGTAAGAGCTTACTGCTTTCCTTTTCCTTTCCCACATTTATTTCTGCAGCTGACTTGGGTAGTAACAGAAAGAACAAAGACCAGAAGGCAAAGCAGGATTGTTGGTGATGTTTGTGAATGGACAGAGAGAAGCTTATCTTCACTCTCTGGAAAGTATGGCACATTTTGGGGAGGTGAGGGTCATGGTGAACATTTAACTGATGCTGAACAGAGAGCTCTAGTCCATTCCTGGCCCCACCTTGGACCACAGGCAGTTCTCTGCTGTTGCTGGAAGGGGAACGAGCGTGGATGGCCGTACGTTACATGGTCCAGGTGGCTACACCAGTACCTGTAAACAAAACAGTTGCAAGACCCACTTGTAAAATTGCTGGAGTGGCCCGTAGAGTGTTTCTGACCTCTCGCCAAGTACAGCTGGACTGTTCTTGATAGGCTGTTTGAATGTGATTGTCTTGTTTTGGAAGCTAAAAGAGTTCAACAGGGTGGATGCAGTCAAATCATGTCAGTTCGCCTTCAAGCCAGAGGACAAGCCCCGACTTTTTTCATTTACTAGTATAGCTACCATATGCATTATACCTGGTAATATAATACCTGGCACGGGGGTATTAGCTGAGATACTGGCCTAAAAGTGCCAGGCTACCTACCTGGTTTAAAGGGCAGCCATCATCACCATTTTAGCATGTCTTTCCCTCAGCGGCCTGTCTGCTGATCCAGGGATGATGGCACCGTCGTTCTGTGTGGATTGCAATGCACCCGCCTTGCCCTGGCAATTGATGTGAATGCAAAGCACTTGCCCCTGTGGCAGGAACTCCTGGTTGTTTTGCCTTACTCTTCCAAATTTTGTGTCCGTGCTGCTAAGGTCTTAAATAGATTTCATGGTCACGTCTGTTCCCTTCCCTCTCACTTCCAAGTTTTGTGCAGAGCTCTCCCCAGCAGTAAACTTTCTCACAGCTTTTCTCCATTAAAAGCTTCTGAGCACAGCACATCCCTGTTTGGGGGAAGAGAATCATTAAGTAAAAACTTGACATCACCATGATGTGAAGAGGTAAAAGTGCAGACTGGTGTGGGGGAAATGCAGAGGTGGTTCTTCTTAGTGCCCCTAGACATGCTCCTTAGGAGGAGGGATCTAAGGGCAAGTCCTGCAAAACACTTCCAAACCAAGATCTGTGAAGCAGTTTGGGAGTTAAAACTGATTCCCGGTGTTCATAACTACTTTTCAGAAGAGTGAGATCAAGTCCTCATAGATGTTGACAAGGTGTAAGGGTTTCTGCAGCCACCTAGTCTTTGGAGTAGTGGAACTCACCTCTCTGCGCCTTGATTGAACCTGTTGGTGCAACAATGCAAGGCTGGCAGGTTTTGGCAGTCAATGCCAGACACTGGATTCTCTGTAATGCTGCACATGCTCTCGTTCTTGTAGGTGGGTGGAGAATTCACCAGTATTGCTATCAACCACATGAAGAAATATGGAAGGATTGCAGTCTGTGGAGCCATCTCTCAGTACAATGACTCTGTGCCTCAGAAAGGTGTGGGCCTGCTTTCTTGTGTCTAAATTTATTTCCTGTTTGGTGATGGCAGGGAGACAGATGTAATGGGAGTCTCTTGAGATTTTATTTGTTGTTTCCGTATGCCATTTGAGTGTACGTATGTGTGTACATTTGGGTAACTAACCGCTGCTTTGGGACAGCAGGAATGTGACAACACTCCTTGTGTGTACATGCACTCATCCTCCTTTGTGCACACTCCTATCGGATGGAGAACTTCAGCTGATTAGAAATGGAGAGACTAAGCTACTTAATACAGGATTCACCAGGGCTTTAAGCAGATACAGATCAGTAGAAGGCACGCGTGGTGGCATGATGCCATTTACACAGTATGTACTTTCAGTTGAGACAATGGATTTCCCTCGGGTTTTTAGATGAGGCAGCTTACGGTTTGGGGTTTTTTTTCCCATAAAATTTCAGCTACTGGTGAAACTACTGGGAAATGTGGCTGAGATGAATATTCACTTTCAATGACATTAGTTGTTCCAAATTTGCCTTCTAGAAGAAATGGGAGGTCTGAATTCTCTCTGGCAACTGATTGGCTTTGGACTCCCAGATCACTTTAAAAATGGGACAGGCTTTTGAGAGTGGGGAGACTATCACATTTTTATGATTGAGGGAACTGGTTTTTAATGTGAGTAACTTTTTGGAGATTTAGAAAGAGCATGACAGCTTGGCAGGCTGTCAAAACAGTATTTCCAGGACTCGGCTGAAGCCCCTCAGGTGAAGCTGAGGCCACTTTACTTCTGAATAAAACTGTTTTCAGAAGTGGTGGGTGTTTAGCCCCACAGCTTTATGGATCAGGCCTTTGTTTCCCTGGGTGGCTGTCTGTCCATGAATCCTTGGTCTTTTGTCCTGGAAATTCTGTTTGGAAAAAATAGCAGTTGCTTTTGGCTGGAACAAAGTGGTTCAGTGGTCTTTAGTGGCTAAAAGCTCTCTTTATGCATTGGGTCTTACTTTAAATGGAACTGAGATTGGAGGTGGTTTGCTGGTTGCTTTCTCTTGCAGGGCCATATGTGCAGGTTCCAATGATCTTCAAAGAGCTTCGAATGGAAGGATTTATTGTGACCCGCTGGAATAACCGCTGGGAGGAAGGTCTGAAGGCCCTGCTAAAATGGGTCGTGGAGGTAAGGAAGGAAGGAAGGGGTAGTTTTCTGTAAGGCGTACTCACACCACAGCTTCCCTCTTTGTAAGGGGTCTCTTGTCATAGCTGTTGAGGTGAGGTCCCGGCATGATATTTTTCTTCCACCTGACTTGGTCTTTGAGCCTTCTGGGGACACTCAAACCATAGTGAACATGCCTGATCCCTTCTGCTTTGTTGAGACCTGTGATACTAGCTTGTGGACTTAGATATATTCCAGAATACATGTAGGCTTTGAAAGAGGATGCTTCCAGAGAAATTCAAAAGACTTCTCTGGCAATGAAGAGTTTCATATTTGAGTAATTCCTCTATTTCCCATTCAGAAGTCTCCTTTCATTTGTAGTATGAGCAAGGATTTCCATTGTAGTGTCATGCTGAAGTTACTGGCAAGAATCGATATTTTTATGGAATTGGAAGCTGGGCCTTAAAGGGACTTAACAGGGAATTTCTTAAATTTTATTTTTCTAAATGGAGGCTGAATTCAACATTTGGTTCATGGCTGTGAAAAGCTTGTGAGTGTGAACACTAAAGGTTAAGAGGCTCTAGCTTTTACAAACATGAGGATTTGGGATGGCTCAACTTTTGATCATTTGGATTTGCAATTCCATACTTCCGTATGGGTGGAGACAGGCCTGACTATGGGGAAATAATCCCCTACCTGTCCATTGTTTGGGGACCAAGTAGCACTAAATCTGTCCTGGTGTGTTTTTGTAGCAGTGACTTTTGCTCCCTGTTAGGACTCCAGGTAGAAGGTCTTGCAAGAAAAGCAGATCCTTACAACAGCCTACCTAGTTTTGCAGTTACCCTGGTGTGTGCCAGCTTACATGTTTCAGGTGAAACATACAAGCTGGAGAAAATTGGTTGCAATTTAGTCTCCTGAAGACGGTAAAAACTAGGCAGCCTGGTGAATGAAAACTCAGCAATTTCCTTTCTTACTTTTGATAGGGAAAAGTGAAATGCCATGAACAAGTCACTGAAGGATTTGAGAACATGCCAATGGCATTCATTGGAATGTTAAAGGGAGAAAATCTTGGAAAAGCCATTGTGAAAGTCTGAAGGTCACATATTCCTGGGGGACTGGCGCAGGAGAATGTGATTCTGTTAAGTGCTTTTAACTCACTGATTGAAAGGTGTGCTTCAGTCATTTTGCTGGACATTTGGTGATGATACCTTCCTGTTAATAACTGGGCTAATAATTGTAAGTATATGCCAGTTGCTTTGCTCTTGAAGAACTTGAGAGTTGCTTCCCAAAGCTACACAAAAAAAAGTGCCTTAAAACTGCTGAACTTCATCAGAACTCTAACAGATTTAATAGCAGCTTGAACCTTTCTACAACTCAACTTGTAGAAAGGAAAAGCAATTCCAAAAGCTTTGCCAGCTGATCACACATCTGATGACTAATGTTTACCCATTGATTTGGCCCAGAACTCGGCAAGAGGGATGTTTTTAACCAGTATCAAGGAGCAAAATACAGGCCAACAACACCTGGGGGTTCCTAGCTTCCTCAATGGCTGGCTTTTGGTTTTTTTTTACTTTCATCAGGAAATGTAGATATCTCAGTTATTCTGAGATTATAGAAAGAAAAAATAAATCTGTTAATGGATACTTTGCTTGTCTTGTAGGTCTGTTTGTGGAATGCCCTCCTCTTTACTTCCTTGCAGTTAACACGAGAGTGGCTAAAATACTACAAGCACTTATTTATCCCAGGAGCTCTTACAGTACAGGTGATACAGATAGGTCACTTATTTCCTTGAGTAATTAGGCCATTGGTGTCCAAGCTTAGAGTTCACCTTGCCATAGTGTTCACCCTGGCTCTCCTGGAAGATGAGGTCAATATGCTGGCCCTAGCTATGTTAAATTGGTGCTGAGTGAAGGAGACAAACAGGTTAGCAACAATAAATGTATTGAAAAAGCCAGAACAAGAACCTGTTAGTATGGGATACAGACAGGTATTGAAGGTGATGGTGAACCATCTTCAACCACTGTGGAGGACAGCTTGGTTAATTTTTATGTCTCATTGATCTGCGAAGAGGAATCCTAAGTGGCTACAATGTCTTTGCAGTGCTAGGATTAGATGCTCTGTCTGTCAACAAGAAGAGATCACTTACTTAAGATGTAGACCAACCAAAACTTGCTGAGTGGGCTGAACAAAACACATGTCCTGAAATACAGGTTGACTGGCCACTGGGGAAATACTGCATCTTGGTACAAGTAGGGAAGAGGTTCTGGTTGCTTTATAGGGTTTTCTGAGGAGAACAAACTGCCAGTTTGGGTTAGCTCCAGTGCTGTGGTTTTCAGCTGGCCTCTGAGAAAGATCTGTGGATTAATACCACTGCACAGCATGGAAAATGATAAACCAGAAAAGGGAGTTTGTTGTCAGTAGGCTTCAGATCCACTGTTTAGAGGTATGCTATTGTTTAGCGCATTTTTATTCGGAAATTTTCAGAGGGCTTGCAAGTCTTAAAATACTGAATTGTTTTAAGTCCAGTGAATTCATGATCTCTTGTTTCAAGTTAAGTTGTGATTTGGGCAGAAACTAAATATAGCTTCATGGAGTTCCTGCCCCGTGGTCGGAGTTGCAGAAAGATTTGTCTGTCAGAATAATCCTGGCTCAGCCTGCTGTCTCATAAAATACTGACCTGTACGTTCCCCTTGCTATCTGTGTACACATTTCATGCTTCATGAATTGCAGCTGATTTTGCAAAGCTGTTTTACCCCCAAAACATAATTATTTTTGTAAAACCAACACCCTGCCCCCTCCCCCCCCAACCTCTGAACTTTACTGAGGAACATAACTTGGATTTTCAGGAGCAAATAGCTTTCTCTTACACACCAGAATACTGCCAGCATGTGAATAATTGGCAATAATATCCCTCATTGTCTGGCACTGTCCGGAGGTCTTGTGGTGGTTTGTCACCATGAGCTTGGTTGTCCTTGAAGTTCTAAAGCTTATGGAGAGATACCTGAATTTTTCCATAATGTCTTGATGAAAATAAAAAGGGAGTATCAAAAACACAGAATTTTTTTTTTCCTTGATAGTCATGGGAATGAGACTGTCAGTGGTACCAGGGAGGGTGAGGGTCACAAAAGCTCTGTATTTCTCCCCTCTAATGAAGCAAACTAACCCTATGAGTACAGTCAGTGTAACAAAGTGGAACAAGGTGCCAGTGCCCAGTGGAGAGCAAAGGCACAGTAACGTGTTGCTGGGATAGGCCCTTTCTGCCAATACATGACTATGTGTCCTTTTAGGCAGAGCATTGGTAGTACCATGGCAGTCTGTGGTGGTGCATTTCCCCCCTCTCTCTGGGCTGAACTATGAATCTGGGGACTCGCTAGGCCTTAGCCCAAGTGTAATGAGTTGGGTGGTTAAGCATGCCTTGACTGTACCAGGAACTCTTGCTCGGCTAAGACAGGGAGCTGCACCGACAGTACCAAGGACTCCTGTTGCCTGGCAGAGGCTGGGGATGGGAGTAGGAATAATTAGTCATTTCCTGACAATCTTGGGACCTATCTCAGTCCTCTTCTGACAGCCTTGGAGCATCCCTTATCTGAATCTTAAGTCACTCTCTGACAGCCTGGGAGCCTTCTTTATCTGAATCATAACTCGTGAAATGGTAGCAGTGCTATTGGAATCCCACTCGTTTGCTGATGACTAAAGCCAATCATCTCATGAACCTATAAGCAGCAGTACTAAGTGAGACCCTTTGAGACCAGCATCTTCCTCTGAGTGGGATGCCTCTCAGAGCTCACGAACTCTGGAGTTTGTGAAGATTGGAGGTCTGTTGCCAAAGCCCATGGGACCTGGGCTGAAACTCTCCGCTCCTTGAGGCTCAACCCTTCGCCCGTTGAGAAAAATGCTGAGGCGTTTGACGTGAATAGTTTCACTGAACTCAAGGGGAATTTTTAACAGGTATACCTCTTTTACTTGCTTATATGTATATCTCTTAGTGTGTTCGTGCATGTACTAATCTGAATATTCTATAGCAAGTATATTAATCTATACATAAGTCACTGTCATGAATTTTATTCAACTGTGAATCAATCTCAGGCTGCTATTATAATCCCTTTAGACATAAACCATTGCCCAAGTCTGGGACTAGGAGTTGATCCAGCTGCACCTAAGCTCCAACAGGAGTTTGGAAAGCAAGGAGGTCTTCTCTGAACCTTGTAACTCAACAGGAGGGTCTCCCCTACCTTTTTACATTCCCGGTCTCTGTACAAATCAATTCTAATTCGATTTTCCTTTGTATGTTTCTCTTTTACCTTATTGCATCTTCAGTCTTTGTATACATAATTTTAGTTTGATTCTAACTTAATTTTGCTTTGTATGTTTCCTTTGTACTTAATCCATGTATTAAGTAATAGGGTGAACCTTGCCATCAAATTTTGTGAAGTCACACTTTTATAAATTCCTATTAAATAATTTTTGCTAATACCCTTGAAGGTGATTCTTTAAGCAGTCTAAACCACTCCATTTCACAACACGGTCCAGCCTGTCCTCTGGCCACTTGCACCAGGCCTGTGGGTGGCCAACGCGGCTGCCATCACCCTTCCTCTAACATTATCACTCTGCAGCTGAGCTTAAAGGCTTTCTGGGAAAGGGCAAGCTCTTGGTGGTCCCACTGGCTGTCAGAAGGCGTGCAAGGGATTGCCTGGGGCTAGGTCCTCCCTGACACTGCAGCAGTCCTCCATTGCGTGCGTCTGTGCTAAGGTGGAAAGGGTGTCAGCTCTGCCCAGGGTGCAGTGCCCATTCCTCAACAGCCCTGCAGCAGGGGCTGTGCTGGTAGTCATCTCTGGTGTTTTTGTGCTGTTTTTCTCCAGTCCACGTAGCTATGTCTGTGCTGCTGCCTAAGTGACACTTAGCAAGTAGGCTTGGCAGTGGGATTTCTGAGGCCATTTAGGATCCCAGTTCATTGAGGATGTAATATATGAGAGCAAGAGGAAGAGTTTATTTAATAATCTTAAATGTAAACAGCTGCAGGCTTCATCATCTGTTGCCTAAACAGCTCTTCATTTATACATATCATTATTTCTAGAGCAGTGGTTTAACCACTTAATGCCTTATGCTTGCCTGTGCAAAATGAAAGTTTCTAGATCAGAGGTGTTCCAGGCTACTAAACATTCTAACCTCTGTGTCCTGTTCCCAAGGAAATTCAGGCTGGGGCTGCTGGCAATACCCGCCTGAGCTTAGGACACAGTGGGGACTAGCTTTGAGTTCACCATGGCCTGCCACACCAAGGGTGGCCTCAGGAGGCCCTGGGAATTGCTGCAAAGAGCTGTGGGTTGCTGAATCCAAGGAGCTACTCCTGCAGTGCATTGCTGCATGCTGAGCTTCTCTCATGGTGTTCCAGGGTCAGTGCCCACAGGAGGGGTCAGGACAACACGGCAAAGCCACAGCATCCATTCTCATGTGAGCCCTGTTCCCCAGCTGAGTCAAGTCCAACCTTAAACCCCCAACATCTCTGATGCAGCCGGTATTGAAGTGAGCAAGACATACCTCAGATGCTTTGCTCTCACCTTGCTCCCACAACACCTGACTGTAGCTGTTCATCTCTCACACCCCCACCCAGCATCAGCTCCAACAGATCCCTCACAACTTAGCTTGCTGCTGGCCATTACCTACAGCATGGGGAGATGCCTCCTGTCCCTATCCTCAGCCCCTCATCACTAGCTGAACATGGGCTCTGCTTCCTAGTAAGCTGAAAGCCTTTGGTGCCATCCTGCTAAGGGGTGCTAAATCTGATCACGGTATTTCTCTTATCAGCAGGCTTCACAGTTCCGAGCACTGTTCATGGTGCCATTGCTCTTCCCCCAGGTTCCTCTCTCAGAGGAACCAGAAACATGCAAAGGAAGGTGAAAAAACAGACTTAATTGCTTCCCTGAGGAAATGTTGTGGACTGACTCAAGTGGAGGGTACATGACCCAAGCCTGGTCTAAAACTTTTCTTCTGTGGATGCCATTGGATCCAATGCCTGGCTGCTTCACCTCCCTAGAGTTGTTCACACCTCTGCCACATCCACCCCACCCCAGATGCTCCAGTTCCTGGGGGCCAGGCAGATGGTGCCACCTGGATAATGGGATTCCACCCCCCATGCACTCTCCTCTAGCCTTTTACCTAGACATACTACCATCACCCCAGTGCTGTCACAAGAGGGAAAAGCACAAGGCATTCCCAGAGCCCATGTGTGTATAAATATATGTATAAAAGTAGACAGTCACTGCCACCTTGTGGAGATTTGCACCTGTCACAAATTTTGTCTTTGCCAGCAGCCAGTAGAGATAAGGCTTCATGCAGCTCCCATGCATTCTTCACCTTCTCTATCTACCAACCTGGACCGTCTCAGCTTTCCCTCTCCAGAGGAGGAAAAATTACATTTCATGTGGTTGTGCTTCCCTGACATCTCTGCAAGACTTTTTCAAGTTCCTCAAACTCATCTAGTTGATCCTTACCAAATCTGGAGGCATCTGGCTGGGTATCCTTCTCACCTGCATGAAACCTCCACTGAAAATAAGGATGCCACAGTATGGTTCAACCTCTGGTCAGCTAGACTGAGCACAGCACCCACTGCCTCTCCAGAGCACCTTATCAGACAACTCTTCTGCCACAGTTTTGTGCTTGGTCTTCTGGCTGAGGAAGACCTACAAATAAAGGTTTCAGCAGCTGGAGTAGAGTTTGTATACAGTTACTGCTTCAGATGAAGGGCAGAGATGCCATGCCATGGCCAGGCCTCCGCTAAGGCTGCTGCCCTCTCAGTCCTGCACTACCTGTTGTCAACATGTCAATGTATTAGAGTTTACGTGCAAAGGTTTTGGTAGTGGGTGGGGCCGGCAGGGTTGTCTTCTGTGAGAAGACACCAGAAGCTGCCACGACATCAGACAGAGCCAGTGACAGCCAGATGCAAGAGAGACCCACACTGGCCAAAGCTGAGTCCTCTCTAATGAGCCCCTACAGCCTATGGAGGTCCCCATGCCAGAGCAGGTAGATGTGCCTAAAGAATGCTGCAGCCCATGGACAGTCCACAGAGGAACTGGCTCCTTGCAGGACTTCTGGCCTGTGGAGAGGAGCTCACTCTGGAGCAGGTTTTCTGGCAGGACCTGTGGCCCATGGGGGACCCACGCCAGAGTAGTCCATTCCCAAGCGACTGTATCCCATGGACCCTATGCTGGAGCAGTGGAAGAGCATGAGGAGGAATGAGCAGCAGAGACATGTTATGAACTGACCACAACCCCCATCCCCCTGCACCACTCAGGGGTGGGGAGGTGGAAGAGCCAGGAGTGAAACTGAGCCTGTGAAGAAGGGAGAGGTAGGGGAAGGTGTTAGAGATTCATTCTTATTTCAAATTATCCTACTCCATGTAATTGCAGTAAGTTAATTTCCCCAAGTTGAGTCCATTTGGCCTGTGACTGTACTTGCTGAGTCATCTCCCTGTCCTTACCTCAAGCCACAAGCTTTTCTGTCATTCTCTCCCCATCCTGCTGAAGAAGGGAGTGATAAGAGGGGCTTGTTGAGCACCCGGCAGCCAGCCAAGGTCAACCCACCAGTCAGTCTCTCCCACCCTTCACCAAGGGTCAGGGACCAGTGCTACCGACTTAGTCTAGCCAGAATTTCACTAGCATATTCCTCAAGCCAATTCCTTGGGTGGCTGAAAGCTGCATGTCCTAGAGCACAGCACAAAAGAGCTGCTACGCCACAGTTTGTTGGCACTGGTAAAGCAGAAGTTGTTTTTTGTTCTTGCTAGATCCAGCTAGTTTTGATGAATGAAGAGTAAAAATTTAAACATTAGAGTAATTACAAATACTCTTATTGGAATCATTTGGAGGGGAATCCAAGTCTAACTTCATTCAGGTCAAGGAAAGAATGAAGAGCAGACGGTTAACTGGAGCTGACTATTGCAAGAGAAGATGTGGAAGAGGTGCATGGGTGGTGAAGAGACTCCTTCCCCAAGTGCATTGATGGCAGTTTCAGAACACATGGATGGAGTTAAGGAGTGTCACTATTTCACTGCAATCTAATCACACACAGTTCCCTTGTCCAGTCACTGTGACCTCTTGGCCCTCCCTTTCACCATCGTTAGTCCTGTCTCATTAAGCCTAGTTATTCCAGCCATGTATTCCAATTGCTGTGCTCAAGGAAGTACTTCTCCTCCTGTCAGCCAGACCACTCTAAGAAAGTAAGCTATGTAACAGGCCTGCAGACAAAAGCACCTTGCTCTACTGGTTTGACAGCAAGGCACAGATCCCAGCCATTTCATAGCCAAATGAAAGACTGCAGTCATTACCTGAGGGGAGGAGAACTTCTTCCTGAAGCCCTGACTCCCAGAAGAAACCTCTGTATGTTGTTTCTTCTCTGCCATGTACATCAGGTTTCTTCCAAACATTCAAGTCAGTTGGCCATCTACCACTTCCCTCTTGAAGGCATCTTTTCAGATCACTGGACCAAAGCAGCCAGTTCTGTTCATGCAAACAGCAGATCACAGAGTTCAATGAAAGAGTGACTCTGCTGCACTACTCTCTAGCATATAGTAATACTGGTCTCACTCCTTCAAATGAAAAACAAGAAGCAAAAAAATAAATGCACCCACTGAGCCCTCCAGAGTATTACTTAACACCCATGTGGCAGGGCATACAGCCCAAGTTTTTAGCAAGGCTACTTGTACCCATTCCATTTAGGGCAAAACATTTATTTGCTACATCTAGGTTTGTTAGAGGCCAAAATCCCATGTTCTTGCCTGTTGGAAGACTCAGTCCAGTTCCCATCCTGAACTGGGGTTCTCTCCTCCCAGCAGGGGCACTGTTGCTGTAGGAACTGAGACTCCTTACATCTCAGCTAGGTATAACCATTAGGCTTTGCTTTCAATCACCTGTAATGACAAGGGCCAACTTCAAACACTCAGATTCTGGCATAACTACGCATTTGGAAAGAATATGCTTGCTGGTTCCTTTAAAGGGAAAGTTTAGCTAACACACATATCCTCATTGAATGTTCCTCAAACAGCCAAGCCTTAAAGAACACCTCCTTTAAAGTCATGCTATGCCTACATGCCAGCTCTCAGAACTGGAAGATACTGCAGCTCAGGAAGCTGAAGACTAACTGCACTTGTAAGAATTGCTTTGCACCCCCAGTTTCAGCACCAGAGTTATTCCAGCCTTTCTGATCTTTCCCAATCCTATCTTGAATTTCCAGTCACTTCTCTGTTACTTGGATCTTTCAAGGTTATTGCAGAGTGTCATTAAGAGCATCAAGTCAAACTCAACACATGAGCAGCATTAACTGCACCTTTCCCCTGCTCCAGTAGGTAACAACCTGGTCTGGCCTCACCTCAGCAGAAACACTGTATGTTGCAGCACATCTTGGTAGCTTCCTTATTTCTTAAAGATGAAGCTGGATGTTATGGGCTTCTCCTGAACTTCACCTGGACTTTTCACCAGAGATATTTTTTTAAACCTTTCTTGCTCCCAGCTACTGCCCAGAGAAAGAGAATAAGCAGGCCAGCCAGGAACTGCTTTTAAAAGCCATGCTTATTTGCAGATGGTGTGGTGTTAATGGTGCCTTCCTGCTCCAGCTTCATTTTATTCTTCCCACAAGCCTGCCCATGGCACCACCTAGGGTGGTGGTCTCCCTCTTTCCTGGGTGATCAGTCTTTTAAACACACAGCTGCACTCCTCTCAAATAGCCAAAGCTGCATAGAAAACATTTTGCATGTCCTTCTTATTGCATAATCACAACCCAGAGCTTACATCCAAAAAGATCCTTGATGGCTCATCCTCAACTAAAGGGTGTGGTCAATTCTCAGACTAGAAAAGTCTTGTTTCAAATAGGTAACATATGCAGCAGGCTGCTGAAGGCCCCCAGTCCTCAAGAGCCAGGAAATTCATGCATGCTTGTGAAATGAGCGTAAGGCTGAGTCACACATGAGCTCCTTAACACAAGGACAAGAGGCCCACTCATCCCATGTTGTATGCATATGTAGCAGGCAGTCTTCCTTTTTCATCACTGATACTCAATGAGCAGCACAGCTCACCTAGTGCTAACCACAGCATTAGGCATAGCTGCTAGCTACAGCCCTGCTTCCTCATTTACTGAATTCTTATCCAGGACAACACCCAAGCCAGCAAGAAAGCCATTTTGATATGGCAGAAAAACACAGCAGTTCTGCTCTGGTGAGCCTGGGAAGAGTAGTTGAATAGTACACAGAGGCTGGCAGGTCAGCATTACTCTAGACAGCCCAATGCGGATTTGAAAGACTGCAGCGTCCAGGTTACTGTGCAGCACATAGAAGTGTCCAGTATGTTCTAAGAATGCAATAGTGCAGTCAAATGAAGATGACAAGAATACATAAATCTAAATTATTTGGGCTTAAGACACTACAATTTTTACCTCTTCAGTCATTTGTTCCAGACTATTGCCTAGGAACAAAGCAGCCCAACTCTTGAGACTAAACATACCTTGCTACTAATAGAACCAAAAGGTACACCAACAGCAAGGCAAAACTGAAAGAGCAAAAAGGCAGCAGCTTCAAGTCCTACCTTACACTTCCATGGTAGGACTGGTATTATGTTCTGATGCTTAATACAAAGCCAAATCTTAGCTTTGAAGTCCAAAATGAAGCTTGACAGATTTTAAAAGAATCTTTAGCTAAAAAGAGGCAACAAAAGAAAGAACCTATCCCACCCAGTGACCACTCTCTTTTCTACAACTCCTAAACTCCCCTTTCCATACCTGCAAGCCAGACTACCACTCTTCAGATTACAGCCTGGCAACTACCACCCAAAAGTAAAGTGGCAGCAGACTTCTCCTAAAGCAACTGTCATTGCCATCCCATGCACCACAATTTTCCACCCCCAGCAATATCCCAGTAATAGATCAAGCTGCATTTTACAAGAGTCTTTGTATCCAGACAGTACTCCGTTAACACATCAAAAACTGACACCTTGATGACATTGCAAAATTCCTTTCATTTTCATTGAAACACAAGGCAATACCTGAAAGTGAAGAATTTACACTTTATTGTAGTCATTTATATAGATCTGGAGGATAGTTTCCACCACTAGCTAGCTTGTTTAGATTTTTTTTTTAAGTAGAAAAGTTAGAGGCTATAACTTAGCCGAAGCAGTCATGCTTCAATGTCTCCATGGCTGGAGATTAGATTAGACTTTTGATGGTCTCTTCCAGCTTCTCTTTATTGGCCCCAGAGAACTCCTGCACCTGTAAAGAGAGATTGATTTTTAAAACTGTCGCATTCAATGCTTCATAACAGTTGCATAGCATCCACCTATATACCTATTCAACTCTGCTACGACTAAAATGTTTTCATCCCCAAAACATGGCAGTATTTTGGAGATGTGCATCTATTGATCTCCCACTCAACTCATGCAAAAGCTGGGACAAAAGTCTATACAGAATCACTTCCAGACTACCACTGCTGGAGCCTTCTACACAGAAAAGGGAAAAGACACTGATCCTGAACCAATGCTGTGTAAGACTCAAATACAGGCTTGAAGGGACTCTGGAGGTCGCTGCACAGCAGAGGTAGCTCAAAGTTACCTTGGGTTGCTCATGACCCTTACCAATCAAATTCTGGAAGGATTGCTCCAAATGACCTGTCCCTGAGCCTGGCTTCTCCTGTGAGACTTGTCCTTGTTGCAACTTACACAGGAGAATAATATAGGCAACATTCAGGTCTCAAAACCAGCAGCTCTGTCTTCTAGTACCTGCAGGGGTGCAAGGTACAGAGCAGACCACACTACAGGCCATGAAATTGTTTGCTTGGTACTCATGTGTCCAGAGAACTGCCAAGGTCACCCAAATCAAAAAGCCACACAACAGGGTTAAACGTGTCACCTTCACACACTGTCACATCATAATCGCAATTCTTCCAATTACATTATGAAGCTGTTGAAGTTTACCCTGAGAAAACTGTCAAAGGTTCATTAGGAGTCATGATTTGTCCCCATATTGAATTGAACTGAAGGCCACCCAACATCTGACACTCACTCTTCAGGTGCAAGTCCATCGCCCTCAGCCATGAAACTTCCATCCAGGCCCTGTTTTACTTTAGAAAAGCCTACCTTCAGCTTGCTTGGCAAACTAAAAGCCCAAGATAACACATTTAGGTCAGCAATTCTATGGTTCAGGCAGACAGCCATTCACAACTACCCTGCACAGGCAGCCCACTACACTGTTAGAGCATAGGCTGCATCCCATCTCATCCACATCTTGGCAGAGCAGGCACAAGAGGCCTGTTCAGTCCTCCAACAGCGACAGGACCTCCACTTCACAGGTTACACAGCTTCTATGTAAAAGCATCCAAGCAGTTGTTTCAGCTGTGTGTATATTCAACCACGTTAGAGACTTCTGTCTGGGTGGGATTCCATAGGCACAATATAGTCATGTCTCTGCTTGAACATGAGCTGCATCCAGAGAAAAATACTAACCAAGACTGGTAAAAAGCAAGATGCTAGGCAGAGGGACTAGTAGTCTTAACCCAGGCATCTAACCCCACTAATCTCTCATGAAGCTCTGCCAGTAAGACCGACCCGTAACACTAACTCAGTTCACTACCTGTGAACAATAGGGTTTGCTTCATCAGTTCACTGCTGGTCCATGTTACAGCACATGCAGCACTAAGATGAACTTGCTCACTCTCGGGAGTGTCTTAATGCCAGTGGTGCCCCAGATACATTAAAGAGAAAGCAGGCTATGTAGTCTAACACTTCCAATCTTCTTTCAAGTGTTTTAGCTTCCCTGCTCCAGTTTCAGCAGAGCAGAGCCTACCTTCTTTCCATTCTTGTAGAACTGGAACGTTGGCATGCACTTCACATCACAGTGCGTAGCAACATCCTGGAAGAGGCAGAAAACAATCTTCAGCTGTGCATGTCTGAAGGATGTTTAAAGTTTAGAACCCACTAGCTGCCTTTTGTTTAGGTGACAGGGCAAAGCCATTACTGCTCAAAATGAAGCAAAAGCACTTCTGGTAGTCCATCACTACCAAAACCAGTGCTCTCCCTGAAGTAAGCCTGAAAGATCCTCCCTTCAGCATTTAATTCATGCAACAGCAAAGATACATTTACTGTACCTGTATCTGTGTGTGGAAAAAAAGGGACCTCTGCATCAAAACAGAGATGACTATTTGTAATGGTCAAGAACCCTACATCAACACCTGTGTTTCATCCTCACACTGTGCAAGTACCTATCTGACATTGCTGGAACTGCTTTACAGCAGACATTTTATTGCACTTAATTCTTAAGACATGAAAGAGGAAACAGTGCCAAGAGCAGTGGAGAGACCAGACAGATCACCAGACAGTTGTGAGGCATTAGTTTTAGGGAAGACTGCATCAAAGCAGCTTGAGGCCTTAGACTAACACTCCCTCCCAAAGTAGAGGGTCAGTGTTCCCAAGTTCTCACACATGCCATAGGGCCGCAAGTGTGCAGATAACCAAGGCACTTTGTTCTGTTCAGGCGTCCTTCAAAAAAATATCATTCTTTCCTATGTAAGTGCTAAACCCCTATCTCTGCTTCTCAAAGTTGAAGTAATCTCTCATTTTATTTCAGTATCTACAAGGACATTTTAAAAAGAGTTCTTCACTGTCACTTGGACACTCATGTGGAACTTACGAGCTGCCTTCTCTCAGCATTACCCCAGACCATACCTGGGCATCATCCACATCAATTTCGATGAACACCACATCGCCATACTTCTCACACAAACTCTAGAATGAAATAAGAAACTATGCAGTTACAATGTTCCAGGAAAGCTTTCTTTCAAAAAACACTTTCATATAAGTTGTAAGGCTGGTGCTGCTTAAACCCCCCGTGAAACTTACCTTGTAACCTTAAAGCAGCTATTTTGCTGACAAGATCAAAAATGTTATTTTCTCCTCCAATACCTGGAAGAGTCTGTTGAAACTTGTTCAAACGTACTCCCCCCCAGAGAAGACTCAAATATATCAACACATAGGTGAAAGGCTTTCTCTTACAGCCTTCAGCTGATCACCAAAAGATACTACAGCCTATTTCATACTTTACCAGGAGACACCACTGCCACCTAAACACAGCTGGAGTGATTATGGTAACTGTGTACAGAAGGATAAGCACTGTTTCCACTCTATATTCCACCTCTTGAGGCAATGCAACTGTTAGGTACCTATATTCCTGAGATGCATGTAAGCATTAGGACAGCAGAAGTTAAACCACGTTTTAGCTCCCAGCTATATCAAAGGTCAGTATATTTAACTTTACAGTTTCTAGGTACTCCTGTGATTCTCCCTTTTCCAGAAAATGCTGGCAATCACATGTGGCAAAAGGAAGTTCCCCCCATGTTATTGTCAAGCAGCACAAAAACATTTGTATATACTTCATACAATTGCCAATAGAAACAGAAAGGCTACTTACATGGAAAAAGGGCTTGATCATTTTGCACGGTCCACACCACGCGGCAGAGAAATCAACTACTATAAGCTTCTCACCAGCAGATTTCAGTTCTGCCTCAAATTCGGACTACAAAAAAAGGAATTGAACACATTAATGACTTTTCCCCTCCTTTCCGAAACAATTTAGACTAATCCCAAAGCTACCTTGCTCTCAGCCTTAACAGACTAACCATTTTGGTAGGTCTTTAAACACTTCACTTAACTGGGATATTTGTACCATCATGTAAGTGCTTCAATATGATCTGCTTTCATCAGTGCTAGCATCACCAGCCAGTGTCTTATGACTCTTCAATTAGAAAAGACCACAATGCTCAGTCACCCCAACTCACTGAATTGTGGAAACTAAGCTAGAAATTCATCTACCCTACAATCCTCAACTCTGCAGCTCTGTTCAGTGTCACCCTCTGAATGTGATCCTTATGGTTTTTAATAATCCATTTTCTCATTTCTGCCTTGGCAGGAAGACTTCCATTTTATTCTGGGACAGACTTTCCTCTGCAGAATTTGAAAAGGACACAAATCTTTCTACACTCGCCCAGTTTGATGCCTTTTCCAATCAATGGCTAACATAATTCTGATGTTGTGTGGTTTACTCTACAGCATGTTTTCTAAAGCAGCCTCACAGGATAGTTATTTTACTACTTTTGCCAGATGAACCCACATGCAACATCAGTAGCCAAAGCAACACTACACATCGAGACTACACAAGTAAAACCCAATACTTATTTATAGCTTCGGGTCTGTTTGTTGCACTCAGTCACACCTATCATTTTTGGACAATGTTCTTTGGAATTTAGAGCTCCTTACATGCCATTAACCATGTTTTCTGGTCGAAAAGTGAATGTTTTAGCAGAGCCAAAAGACATTAAAAACAATAAATTGTTGCGTGCTACCAAGAGGCAAACAAGTATCTCAGGCAGAAGCAAAAAATGCTTATCAGCTACTTCCTGACAGTGTCTTTTCCAAAGCAAGTACAAGCCACTTCAACATTCTTCAACTTCATTATCATGGCAATGCAAGCTTCAGGAGAGCTGTTAATATAAACTTCATTTCAGATTATGGATACAAAAGATAGCTGCTTTACTCTCCCGAACTTAACAGACTAGAACATTAGAGTTCTGTCAGCCACAGCTAACTGAAAGCAATATGGTTACCGCCATACTTACTTGTACAGAGTGGCTGGTTTTGCAGGGCAGGAGTTAACTAATTAATGCCAGCTTCTGCACTCAGCCACACTAAGTTAAGACTTGAGTCTAGTAAGCTATTCCCCCCAACTAAAGAATGCCATGCAGTTGACGAGGCAAGAGAGCACACAGTCAAACTGGTCACGCATATATTTAACAAGCAAGCAAAAGGTCCTGCACCAGCACTCTTATGTATAAACCTACGTGAAAGTCTTCATAACTTCCTGTAACTTCAAATACACCCGGCATTAACATCTCCCTGTTAGTAAGACATTTTCCCTCCCAGTGTAGCTATCTTCAGGAGCGCAGCCTCCACACGTTGAGTTCTTCCATCCTTGCATCTTGGACATTCAGAGAGTCTACTCTGCTGTAAGATCAGTAGCTAACACTTCACACCACCTACACTCAAGTCTGAAAGAGATGGGAACAGTAAGTTTTCCTATCTCCCTCCATTCCCCCACTCCTGTACTGACATAGTATGCATTCCTGCACCCCAGTCCCAAAAGTACCCCATTCCCACCAACAAAGTTCAATGTCCCTGTATACAGCAATCCATGCTAGCTGCTCCCTCAACTACTTATACTACAAGTTCCTTGGTAAAGCCTCACTCCTCCCCGCCTTCAAATCCTCCAGCTTGGTTTTTGGTATAGCTTCTCACACCTCTGCACTGTAACATCACCAGCTCTTTACTGATTCCACTTCCTGCACCTGCCAGTTAGACCATCCTCTTCTTACCTTTAAGTCTTCTGTCCAGCTGCATAATTACTGTATTCTGCAAAAGGAAATCTAGTCCTGGGATGTGTTCGTCATATGGCCACACACCTCAGGCTTGCTATTGCACAGAACATGGGGCGAGTGGGAGGGCACGATACCGACAGTTGGTCACACATCACCAGAGACGTGGTCCTGACTACAATCAGGTGTTACCAGGCAAGTCATCTCTGGCATCAGCTAAAATTGCTGTGGGAGAGTGAAAAGACATGCAGGGTCCAAAGGTGCTTACTCTTGCAAGTTAAAAAATGTTGAACTAGGGAGAAGTCCTGAAAGTTTTCCCAGAGAGCTTAATTTCCCTGGAAGAAGGAAGACAGTAGTGGTGGCAAAACAAACTACTTGACCTGTCCAAATGACTTCCACAGTTGTTTTTAGTGGTAACCGTGAAGTGACAAGTTTTCATATAAAAACCAAGTCATCTTTGTTAACACAAGGGGAACCTCCTACCACAAGACCATTTGGTCATACACTATTAGAGGATCTTAGGGCTTTATTAACCAATATTTTCTTCAGGTAGCACCTTAACCACCTTACTGGGGGAAACCTCTGTCAAGTTCATTGGTTGGTTTTGGGGTTGGTTTTTTTTTTTTTTGAGCATTTAACTACAACCTCCCTGAGCACACACAAGACCTCATTTTGCTTGTATTATCCTCCAGCAGAAAATGCATGCTGCATTCAACAAATACACTGGTGGCAGGCCTCTGTTTCCAAGAGCCAGGTAAGAGAAAGGGCTCTAGTAATGAAAGCCTCTAGTGCAGCAGGGATTCCCAGCACCAGGTAATACCTCAAAATAGAGGCTACTGACTATGGACAGTGCTGAAAGGAGTCTGCTGCTCTCAGCAATAGGTAAGACACCTTTAATCAAATCTGCCAGATGGCGTCAACCTTAGTTGTAAAGATGATTTCCAACACATATCAAGTCACCCTTGAACTTGGATTAACCAGTCACCACCTGACTGCCAATGGTTACTATGTAATTCAGTAGTTTGCATTTTTTACTACAGAAGCTAGCATAAACAGACTCAACTGCCTGAACTCCCAAGCAGACACCACTTCTAAAACTATCATCTCCATCCGAAGCTGTGAGTCTTCAACATGTGCTTAGACTCAAGGAGGCAGCTAGTGTGAATAGGAAAGCTTTGGCAACACCAGCTTTCTAACGGCTTATATACCCCATTAGCTTCGGCTATAAAAGGCATTATGTCCCATAGTCAAACCCTGTTAGAACCCTGATGAGTTACCCATCTCAAGACCACATACTTAAACCAAGAGAAGTACTGCTCCTTCTGTCCGCTAGCAGGGACTTGAGAGGGACCAGTAAGGTACCCTGAGAGTCGCCATTGTTCAGAAGCTAGTCAGTTTCTGAAGAGGTGTGTTAGGAGAGGGGCCACATCTAGCTAGCTGTCATGTTCACATTCCTTTACAGATGTCACTCACGGAAGCTTTTGCAGGTAGTGAAAAAAGGGGCTTTCCTCTTTGTATCAGAGCAGAATACAAGTCTGCTTTACTGACAAACAGAATTAATCCAGAAATCCCAGTTGCACTGTACTTGAATACTCTGGGTGTTGCTGATGCTAACATCTTGTTGTCAACATGACTGCTGAGTCCATGCTCTCCATGAATAAGCAACAAAACCATGCTTTAACTACAGCAGACTATTAATGAACGCTCATAGCTGGGAGGACAGTGAAAGCCTAGTCCACTTTAAGTTAGAGCAGGCTCTGCCTCCAAAGCCAGGTTTACTGACTCTCTACTTTCAAGCCTGTACCAAAAACCTCAAAACTCACTCAGAAAGTTCGCCTGTTCTGTCCCTCCATAAACAGAGAAGGGGGGAGGGGGAGAGAAGCAAACCGGAATAAGAATTTCAGGCTGAACTCACACACCATTCCATCCCCAGGACCTGAATGATAAGGCATTTCGTTCATCTTACCTTTAAGGAGCTTTCTGCATTCACAGGTATTTAAACTGTGGTCACAAGAACTAGAATGCTCACATGTCAGATGTTAATACCTTAGCGATCCAAGGGGGAAACCCTGCCATGCTTTTCATTTATACAGGGAACTGGCTATAGAAGAGCACAGCCTATAAGACAAACTTGATGCCATACAGCATGACTCACAGGCCCCTCACAATCAGATCAAACTGACACTTCAACCAAATTTCGAATTCAAAATGCAAGACTAGCCCAGCAGGATTTTCCCAGAAATGAAGGGCTCACTAAGTTTGCACAGAGAGTATTTTTGGAGATCTGGGTTCATAAGTTACTGCTAACAAATACTCTACTGTTGTCTATCAACCACGTCAGCTGCTGTGCACAAGACCACATACTACTTCACCACCAGCAGAGTATGCTCCACGTGTTGGTCCGGGCTGTTACCTTTCTGTATCGCAAAGCCACGGACGTGTTTGTATTCACAGAACCGTCTGAACAACGAGGTGCTGCACCAGTGTACCGAACAAGTCGGACAGCACCATAACAAGGGGAGTACTTCTTCTGCCAGCAGCTCCTGTCACTGAAGTGCAGGAACGGGCTCTAGCAATTCCTTTCAAGTCAGGAAAACGGGATTCCTGTTTTCCACGAACTCCTGTCCAGAAGCACACCAGAACTTAGGCCAGTCTCGGGGAGCCGCCCGGTCCCTTAGACGCTGGCAGTCCATGAGGGAGCCGGGACTCCTCAATGAGGGTACCGCAGCAGCCCGCTACCAGCCCGAGGAATAAAACGCGACGTCTCCCTACGGCTCCGAAGGGAGATGAGCGACAATTTGCCACAGCACGGAACCGCATCCCCTCCCGCCTCCTCCCGACCACCTGACGCCCTCGGCGGCACAGCCGCTCGCTCGCCCCCCGCGGTCCGACCGAGCCCTCCCGTCGGTGCCCCCTTCCCCCCCTCCAGCCACGCCCCC